GCGCTCGGGGTCCTCCCGCAGCTGCGGGGGCTCAGCCGCCGTCCCTGGCACTGCACGGAGCCCTCCTGCTCCGCTGCTCCGGCTGCACAGCGTGTGCTGGGGGTTCTGGGTGCCCCACAGTCTGATCACATGCCATGGTCACCTGTCCTGCACCCTGTCCTGATTTTGGTCCTGGCTGTGGTGCTCAGCCTGGTCCCCTGCCCACGGTCCCTCTGCCGGCACGTTCTGTGTGGGGCTGTCGGCCTCAGGCACTTGCAGTCCCGATAGCATGTAGGGCCTGGGGCTGGCTGGTGTCTGTCGTGTGCTCCTGGTCTGCCTCTGGCATCTGCCCACTGTGAGGGCACTGGGAACTTGCAGGGCCACCTGTACTGGGAACCTCATCCCCGGCTGCCGAGGCAGTGCCAGTCCCTCGTTCACACAGGATGTGTGGGGCTGCAGGGGGTCCCCCAGACTCAGGCCCCTCTGCAGACAGACAGTACTTTCAAACCCAGGAGGGATGATGAGTGCAGGTGTCCCACCCTCCCGGCTGGGCATCCCCCTGACAACACAACCTGCATATCTGCAGACCTCCAGAGCAGCAATACCTGTTGGGTCTGGGGGAGCAGTAATACCAGTGCATTAGGTCTGGGGGAGCACAGGGATACCAGTGCCATGGGGTCTGGAGGAGCACAGTGGAGCATTTGACCATGGTTCAGACTCCTTTTCCATTTTGGGGCTCCACCCTGAACATCCCACCAGCACCAGCCAGCACTGGAAAATTCCCTGGCTCTCGAACTCTTCCCGTGCAGCTGTTGTTGAGCCTTTCATGGATTCTGTTAATTTCAGCCAGATGTTCGTGCCATAACATTTGTGCCATGCGTGTAACTCACAGAAGTGCTGGTAGGAGACCAACTTGCTTCTATCCCCAGGCACCTGCCGTGGGTCAGATCGCCAAAGCCTGATGTCCGTGTTACTTCCTGGCTCTTGGAGATGCTTCTGGAGCCCTGCATGGCTCTGGTAGCTCCAGCTGAGCCGCTGCCCACCGGGTGGGTGAGCTGTCACCTGTCATTTGCGTTAGACACGCACACAGCACCAGTCCAACCCAGTGTGCTCGTGGCATGAACTGCTGGAGAAGAGATGTGTGAAGGTGGGTGGGGCGTTTCAGTGGTGGCTGTCTCCAAACGCTGGTGGCCTCTGGTCTTGTTGTCAGAGCAGTTCCTCCGCTGGTGGAGGGCTGGGGCAGCCAGAGCCCACGTGCTGCCCAGACCTGGTGGGGTTTGAACCTGTCCGTGGGTGCAGGTGCCCCGCAGCCCTTGGCCCCAGAACTTGGCACTGAGGCTCCATTTTAGTCTATTTCAGATGTAGGAATAACACAGAGGGGATCGTGTCAGTGCACATATCAGTGCACAGAGCAGATGGAAACCTGTGCTGCAAAACAGCCTCATTAGGTAAAGACACCACTGTGCCATTCCTGTGGTAAGGATCAGTATCTTACTGGGATGCAGCAGGACAGGTGTTGTACCTGTATTTCTTTTTGGGATGCTGGAGGCCCCAGCTGAGTGTTGTGCCTGCATTCTGGCTTTAAGAAAGGTGGTGACAAACTGCAGAGAACCGAGGGATGAGGACATCATCAGCTGAGGAGAACTCTCTGGGTTTCTCAATAGGCTTAAGGGAGTTTTGGATGGGGTCACTGGAGGAGGAAAAGCTGGAGCAGCAAGGAGGGCACAGGACTGGAGAGGGTTGGGGAGGTCACAGGGGTGGGTCAGACAGACCCTGTTGGGGGGACCCAGCATGTCTGGTCCCACCTTGGTGGGCAGCGTGTGGTGCATCATCTCTCCAGCAGACAGTCTGTGCTTCAGCAACACCTCACAGCCAGAACCTGCCAGAATATTTTAAAAAGCTGAGACTCATGTGGAAGGGAAACCATCTGGTGCTGTCGGAGTACACGTTAAACCTAGGATTTGGGAAGGGATGAATATAGACAGTCCTGTCTCCCTGTAGGAACAACTTTGCATCCCTGGGAGCACAGAGCTGTGCCAGGGGTGGTGGGAAGGAGCTCATGAGCCTTCTGCCCTGGTTCCCTGCCCAGGGCAGATACGTGTGCCTGAGGTGTCCCTGACAGGTCGGCTCTGACAGCCCAGTCCCTGTAGCCAGCCCTGTCGGGTGTTCAGTGCTTTGGAAGACGTTCCTTCATAATTGCTTCCTGCAGGATTCCTCATCCTTGCTGCAGTGTGGCTGCTCCTGGAGACGGGATGGCAGATGCTGTGGATGCGGGTCGGATCCAGTCTGGCAGCTCATGTGTTCCTGTGACCTTGGCACAGATGGCAGAGCTGCAGCTCTGGCAGGTTGTCAGGCGCCTTCTGCTCAGTCCCAGGCATGGGTGCCCGTTGGCTTGGGAGGGAGGGGAGCAGCATGTGTCCACCTCTGCCCACAGAGCATGGCCATGGCATAGGGAGGGGCAGCTCTGAGCTGCTGCTCCGTGTGTCTGGCAGCAGGTACTGGGGAGGGGAACTGCCGGGGTAAGCTGGAACTGTCTGGCAGGTGTGAACACCCGAGGGAAGAGCAGGATGTGCAGCCTTGGGAGAGGCTCTGGGTGGGAGCTCTGCTCCCATGCACTGGCATGGGGGTCTATGGCATTGATGGCGTGGGAGGGAAGGCAGATAGTGGGACCTGTGGGCTTAGGAGAGGATGGAGAAGGGAGGGGAAGGGGCTTGGTTGAGGCGCCGGCTATGCTGTGGGGAGGGGAAGGAC